ACACGCATCACCTGTACCACACTGTAGTGGCCCGTGTGGGGACTGACTCCGCGGGGCTGGGGGTGAGCGCAGTGCTGCACCAGGGCGGGAAGGAGGTGAGCTGCAAATACTTGGCGAGTAGAACTGATGGCTACAGACAAGAGAAGTGGGTGTTCACGCTACCTGGGAGAGGGATTCTGGAGGGGGGAGGTCGCTCCAGGTGGAAATGACCTGCAGCTAACTGATTGACCTTGAGAGCTGGCTGGTGGGAAGCCCTGGTGTCTTCCAGGGAGCAGCTGGGAAGCACGTAGGCAGCCTGTGGAAGTAGCATTAGTTAGGTCCGTGCTGAGGAGGGGCGGGGCTGGGCTTCCCTGAGGGGACCCACGCCCTCTCTCCTCACCTGTCAGGTGCCTCCTTTGTAGATGCAGCACACAGTCAGGAAAGAGCAGCTGTCATCTCGGTGAGTTGGCCGGCAGCAGCGAGCCTGTGGTCCTTGAGTAGACAGGCCCGGCCTCCCCGGTCTTGGTCCTGCTGTCCCTGTGGAGTATCGTCGAGCAAAGGATGCCTCCTCTCCCACCTGGTTGTCCCCAGGGAGGCCGGAGGAGGAGGCTGGTGGCCGGTGACTCCTCTGAGGCAAGTATCAGTTCTGCCTCTTGAAGCAGAGTGTTTTCTGGGCAGATCGCATGTGCACAGTCGTCCGGGCTGAAAACGCACTCCTTTATTGTTATTTTTCTAAACAAAGTAGGGCAAAGGCAACATAAACATAGTTTGGACAAAAGCATTTGGCTAACGGAGATAAAAGTCAAAGGAAAATAACAACTTCAGTTTCTTTTTGGTTTTTGTGTTTTGACATTTGGCAGCGTACCTCTAATCTTTTAAGAATTAAAAAAAATTACATGGTGTGCAAACTGCAAACTGTGGTTTGTGTCTGCTCGTTAAACGCAGTGTGAAGTCGGCCCAGCCCAGAGCCTCCCTCGCCAGGGCGGGACGTTGCTGCCCCTGCTGAGCGGTCTCTGGGGGGCCAGGGGCCGGCAGGCGGCCCTGTGGGAGTGACAGTCTCACTCCGCCATCTGTGGGGCCTCGAGGGCTGCTGTTTCCGTTTTCCAGAGGAGGAAGCCGAGATTCAGTGGGGCAACTGAAAAGTGGCCCGAGGGCAGCCATCTTTCCGCTTGACCGAGTTGCTGTTTTCAAACTAGAGTGCTGTCAGAGGCCATGTTTCGTATTCTGGATTTAGGGGTTGGGTGGGGGTGCGGAGAGCAGCCGGGATGAGGGGGAGCAGGTGGGGGCTGGAGGCATTCCTTCCGGTGGCAGATGTGTGCCCGGCACCACGCCAGCCCCAGTGTGGAGACAGTCAGGGCCTCTGTCCCCAGAGCCTGCGGTCCAGAGGTCGTGGGAGGAAGGGGCGGGGAGCCGGAAGCGGGCGGCCTCCCAGGCCTCTGGCTCCAGCAGCCGGGCAGCAGGTGGTGGGTGCTCAGCAGAGGCTCCCCGGAGGGAAGGGGCGGTGGGCAGTGAGTTCAGTTTTGTGGCACAGAGAGCTGGGCCTCCAGGCAGCGGGGTCTAGGAGGTCCGTGTGCAGTCCCCTCCCCCACCCCTGTCAGGGTGTCCGGCCTTTGGCAGCCTAATCAGGAGATGGCACGGCTTTCCCACTACCGTCGTGGCACCGGAGGCCTGCTTCTTGCCACCCCCCAGCCTCTGCGTGCCCTGAACCCTCCGCTCTCCCTCCGGCCCCGATGGCTCTGCTGTGTCTGTGCCCCTCCTGGCCCTTCGTGGACTTCTCTGGTGGCCACTCACATCCTCATCTCTGCCCTCCTGGGTCCCTCCAGAGGAGCGAGTAGCCCCTGCACCCTCCCCAACCCTCGGCACCGGCTGCCCTTGGCCTCTGCATTCACCCGCCTGTCCCGCCAGCGCCTCCAGCCGCATTCATCTGAGATAGAACTGCTTGTTCTGAGTCTTCCCTTCTGAAACCGGCACACTTTCCCCACCCTGACGTCCTGCTAAAGGTGCCTCTCTGTTTCCGCCCATTCCCGCCTGCTTGGGGCCTGCGCTTCTGGTGGTTCCTGCCCTCCCCAGTCCTCCCCACAGCCCTCTCGCCCTCTTCGGCTACATCAGGAGCTCAGAAGCGCCACCTTGATGGTGTCACATCTCTGCCCGCAAACACACAAACCCACTCCAGTAGCTTTGACTTCAGCAGTGTTTCTTAAAATAATTTTAAATGGTAACAGTTGAACGTTACTCATCTTAATAGTTTTTTAATCTTAAAAATGCCACGGTACTTTGGCACTTCCTCCGAGAGTTAGAGAGCTGCCGTGTGACCTGGCAACCCCCCTTGTTGGTGTCTGCGCGGAGAGGCCAGCACACACGTCCACACAAAAATGACACAGAGTTCATAGCAGCATTATGCACGACGGCCAAAAAATGGAAACAGCCCAGACGTCCTCCAGCGGATGCGGGGGTGGATGAAATGTGGTCTGTCCTTATGGTGGGGAATTACTCAGCCGTCAGGAGGAGTGAGGTACTGAGAGTGTGGTGTGAGTGGACCTTAAGACATGCTGGGTGAGAGGAGCCGGACACAGACGGCCGCACACTATGAGATTTCGTTTCCGTGAAAGTCCAGAGTAGGTGCACCCAGAGACAGGGGAGGTGAGTGGTTGGCAGGGCCGGGCGGCAGGCGGGGCGGGCGGTGGCTGCTGACCGGTAGGGCTTCTTTGGGTGATGCAGATGCACACGGCGGTGACGGTTATCCCGCATCGTGAGGATGCGGAATTGTAAGTGTGACTTGTACACTTTAAATGGTGAATTTTATCTCAATACAAATAGAAAGGCCCCCTCCCCCCAAAACGCCTTAGCAGGGATACCTGACTTCGTGTGTGTTATTACCTAAGGCGAGTCTTGGGGTTTAAAAGGAAGTTGATTTGAAGAAAACCACTGAGCAAGCAGCAGTGCGGCGTTCCTGAGAGGGCGTCTGGCTCTGGGGAGTGCCCTGTGGTAGCCGTTACCGCTGCGATGGGGCGGGGACGGGGCGGCGTCTGGCGGGCGGGTGAGCTGAGTGCGGCGGGAGGCCGGGCCCCTTCCCTGTCCGCACGCCGTCCCGCGGGCGGCAGGGTCTCCCGTGAGCATGCAGCCTGCGGCCGCTGCCCCGCGTGGGCCGCCTCCTGCCCAGGCCGGAGCCACGTCCTGTGCTTCCCTGCGGGCGTCGATCTTCACACGCCGAGTGTGTGCGGAGCGCCTGTCAGATCTGGTGTCGACTAAACCGTTCACCTGTCTGCACCGTGGTGGCAAAACGATGTTCTGAAACAACAGCAAGGCTGCTTTTACAGTGTGGTGCTGGGGACATGTGTGCCCCGTGGACGCAGTTCCCCTCCGAGGGGCTCGTTCTGGAGCAGCGAGGCACGCGTGCCGCAGGAGACACGCACACACCAGCACTCTTCCCCGTGGCAGGAGTTGGAAACGAGGCCAGCTGTCTGCCGGCGCGGCGGTGGGGGGTGCGCTGCCACGTGTGAACCGGGCAAGCGCGA